TATGATTTTTAAAAGTTTCCTTGGAATACTGAAAATTCGTATGTATTTAGATTCTTTGAATTGGAACATGTATATCTTTCTTTGGTTCTGGGAAGTTTTCTGCTTTTATTTCATTTGTTATCTTTTCTGCTCTATTCTCTCTGCTATTATTTACAGAAATCCTGTTAAATGAGTTCAAAACTTCTGAATCTAGTCAACATAACTAAGTTTCTTTTATACATTCCCTCCCTGTCCTTTCTTACTGTGTTCTGGAAGCACACATTGGCTTAAATTTCCAGCTCCCATATTTATCTTCAGTCTTATCCATTATTCTCCTCAGTCAATGTGTTGAGTTGTTTTTTTGAAAATGGCATGTATTTTTTTGAGTTAACTTTTATTTATCATTTATCACTTTTTCTGCATGTGGATATCCAGTTGTTCCAGCACCATTTGTTAAAATGATTATTCTTTCTCATAGAATCATCCTGTACCCTTGTTAAAAATCAGTTGACCATAAATGCAAATGTTACTTTCTGGACTCTCAATCCTATATCATTGATATATATGTCTATTCTTATATCAGTATCACGCTTCCTTTTTAAAAAAATATATATTTTTTTATTTATTTTGGAGAGGCAAGGAGAGGGAGCGTGAAGTAGAAACATCAGTGCCGAGAGAGAATCATGGATCGGCTGCCTCCTGCACAGCCCACACTGGGAATTGAGCCAGCAACCTGGACATGGGAATCGAACCGTGACCTCCTGGTTCCTAGGTCGCTGCTCAACCACGGAGCCACGCCAGCCATGCAGCTCATTTAATCTTCATTTAACCCTGTGAGGTGGCTGCTATGGACCCTGGGAAAGAAGGCACCTACTGAAAAGGGTGACCAAGTGGACTCAAAGTTTAAAAAACGGACCCTCGCAGCCATTTCTATGACGGCCTCTCACGCCAACTGCACCTCAGGGAGAAGCCTGCACTGAGCTGCCTGCCTGAACTGAGATTCTGCCAGCTCAGCAGCCCTTATAAAGGAGCTCCTGGCATCCTATTCCAACCAATAGGACCAAGGAAGGCTTTCTTTCCCCAGCCAATAGGAGGTGCCCCCTCAACATCTTCACCGACCAATCAGAGTAGCTCCCTTCTGACCAGGAAAGTGCCTGTTGAACCAATCAAACTTTGAAGATATGAAGTCCTCATTTGCATGACAACAGACCAACAGGAACCAGGGGCAGGGATCTCGCTCTCTCTCTCTCTCTCTCTCTCTCTCTCTCTCTCTCTGTAAACCAGCTCCCAGGGGAGGCGCACTTTCCCTTTCCACCAAAGAGGGAGGACTGTTTCCCAGGCTGAGCAGACCAAGGAGGAGCCAAGCAGCACAGAGCTGTCTATACAGAGAGGGGCCTGGTCGTGGGCTGCCTCACAGCTGTGCTGGATCAGAACTGAGCTGGTTTTTTGAAATATATTTTTATTGATTTCAGAGAGAGAGAGAGAGAGAGAGGGAGGTAGAAACATCAATGATGAGAGAGAATCATTGATCAGCTGTCTCCTGCATGGCCCACACTGGGGATCGAACCCACAACCTGGGTATGTGCCTTGACTGGGAATTGGACTGTGACCTCCTGGTTTATAGGTCAATGCTCAACCACTGAGCCATGCCAGCTGGGCGTGGAGGGTACCTTCTAAAAGAGTGGAGGTAGACCAGCAACTCCCTGACTGCCCCACTCCTCCAGCCGCTTCCAGAAAAAGAGAGAAACTTCTCTGTTATCTGAGCGACTGCCGTTTGGGGTTTCTGTTACAGTAGCTAATCCCATCTCCTAATTAATCAGGTATGTGTTTATAATATTCCCACCACTAGGAACAATAACTAACACACACCAAGGGCTTATTATATGTCAAGCACTAATCCAGGCGCCTGACGTGTAATAGCTCATTTAATCTATTTTTATTATTATATATTTTTATTGATTTCAGAGAGGAAGGGAGAGTGAGAGAGAGAGAAACATCCATGATGAGAGAGAATCATGGATCGGCTGCCTCCTGCACAGCCCACACTGGGAATTGAGCCAGCAACCTGGACATGGGAATCGAACCGTGATTGAACTGCAACCTCCTGCAATCATTCAGCCACGCTGGCTGGCCCATGGGATATTTATAACCTCATTCACGGGCCATGCAACATTATCAGCTTAAAATACGTATAGTATAGTCTGCTCTATTTGCTCAGACATTTAATTAACTCACCCATCTAATGCCTGGGCAGGGGCGGAGCCTGTAACCAAGTATGTGCCCTTGACCGGAATTGAACCCAGGACCCTTTGGTCCACAGGCCAACGCTCTATCCACTGAGCCACACCAGCCAGGGCAGGAATATTTCACACGGGAAGAGGAAAATGAGGACCAGCTCGCGGAGTGAACCGATAAAAAAAGGTTTCATTTTATAAGGGCGATGACAAATGCACTAGACCTTTGTGTAATGTCCCTGAGCACGAAACAGACGTCGCCCGGGGATGGATATGAGTGCCTTTCATACGATATTTTGGTACGTACCAGGTGTCATTAATTAGGCAATATTTCTCGGAGTGCAAAGCGAGGACATCTCTAGAGTCCTAAGTGACATTTCCGGCTTTACGCCGCCATTTAGTGTCTTTTTATGTTGTTTTATTTCTTTCCGTCTGAATTAAGTATGCCTAAAAAATGCTCTGCAAATTTTGTGCATGGCCTTTAAAAAAACATATATATTGATTTCAGAGCCACATGTTTTTACTGGCTGTTTCAACCACCCTCCCTTTTTCTCTTTTCTTTTAAAAAATATATTTGTATTGATTTCAGAGGGGAAGAGAGAGGGAGGTAGAAACATCAATGATGAGAGAGAATCATTGATCAGCTGTCTCCTGCATGGCCCACACTGGGGATCGAACCCACAACCCAGGCATGTGCCTGACCTGGAATCGAACCGTGACCTCCTGGTTCATAGGCTGACGCTCAACCACTGAGCCACCTGGGCTGGGCAGAATTGAGCTTTTTTGCACTAAATATAGTTTCCTTCTTCGCCGCACCCCGAGTGGGATTCCTGTTGGTGCTGAATTGGCACCAACGACCATCCCTTGATGGTAGCATTGTTGTCCCGTTTTGCAGATGACAAGACTGAGGCATGAGGACGTCAATAACCTGCCCAGGGTCCAAGAAGAGTGGCAGAGCTGGGACGGGCACCCAGGCCATCTGACTCCCGACTCTGTTCCCAGTACAGGTTCCAAATTACCTCCGGGGTGTGGGACTTGGAGTGGGGGGGGGACAAGTTTCCCTTTTTGCTGCATGCATTTCTGAATGTTTGCATTTTGTATAACAGCCGTGCATTCTTTTTACAATTTCGAAAAGGGAGGTGTGTTTTTTTTTAAGTCTAAATATTTTAGTGAAACATGAACACAATGGAGAGTGGTCACGTTAATGTAACATACAACCAAAAGAAAAAGATATATACTTTTCAGGCACGGTTACTCACTCAGCCTCAGGGAAGCAGGAGAGATGCCCCTACAAGCCCGAATATTATAAGACAGAAGAAAGGGTGGATGTGAAGCTGAGATGAACAGATGGGACTAAAAATGCCCCCAGATGGGCCAGATGAGCCAGCTCTTCTGTTGTCCAAACAGCCTGTTGAACACATTTCTCATTTTTCATCATTTGTTTGGCCATACTATAGCTTCAGTGTAAACCTAGAAGGAAAAAAACCCCGCTGAGTCAACCAGAAATCCCTGCACAGCGGGCACCGTCTCCGCCTCTGTAAATATTTAGGGCTCCCGTTCTGTTCCTGGGAGCAGAGAAGTGCTGACGTCGGTAAACCTTCCCCTGACAGCCGGGGCCTGTGTCCCCGGCCACGCTGTCGCACCATATTTGGGCCGAAATGAGTGGATGGGTGATTGTTTTGTTTTATTTTTTTAAAAACATATTTTTACTGATTTTTTTTTTACAGAGAGGAAGGGAGAGGGATAGAGGGTTAGAAATATCGATGAGAGAGAAACAACGATCAGCTGCCTCCTGCACGCCCCCCACTGGGGATGTGCCCGCCACCAAGGTACCTGCCCTTGACTGAAATCGAACCTGCGACCCTTCAGTCTGCAGGCCGACGCTCTATCCACTGAGCCAAACTGATTACTGATATTTTATTTTTTTTAAATATATTTTATTGATTTTTTACAGAGAGGAAAGGAGCGAGATAGAGATAGAGAGTTAGAAACATCGATCAGCCGCCTCCTGCACATCCCCCACTGGGGAAGTGCACGCAACCCAGGTACATGCCCTTGACCGGAATCGAACCCGGGACCCTTCAGTCCGCAGGCCGACGCTCTATCCACTGAGCCAAACCGGTTTTGGCAATAAACATATATTTTTTTAAAAGGAGCAGCAGCAGCATCAACCACTGAGCACACAGCCGGGCGGGTGACTGTTTGAGGTCTTCCATCTGGACCGGAGGACATTAGGTCCGCACAGTTTGCAGGGAATCGAGGCTTGGGAATCAGTCCCGGGCTGGGAACCCAGGATCTGGAAACAGCTGGGTGTGCTCTTGTCCCTACTGGAGTTTCTGGAAGCTGAAGAGGCTGCCTGGCCACCTGGAGACATCAGCTTTACTTCCAAAGCAAAGAAGAAAACCCACTGTTGACAGGAGTTGTCCTTCCATAGCTCTGTAACAGCAAGGACCCCGCTAAAGAGCCAGTGGCATGCGTGTGTGCTTGTGCGTGTGTGTGCATGTGTGTGTAGAGCAGTGGTTCTCAACCTTCTGGCCCTTTAAATACAGTTCCTCATGTTGTGACCCAACCATAACATTATTTTCGTTGCTACTTCATCACTGTCATGTTGCTATTGTTATGAATTGCCATGGAAATATCTGATATGCAGGATGGTCTTAGGCGACCCCTATGAAAGGGTCGTTCGACCGCCAAAGGGGTCGCGACCCACAGGTTGAGAACCGCTGGTGGAGAGAGAGAGAGAGAGAGAGTGAGAGAGAGAGAGAGGAGAGTCAGAGAGAAAGAAAGCAAACTTGGTAAAATGTTAACATCTGCGGAAATCTGGGGGCAGGGTATGTGAGAATTTTTGTATCACTCTTGCAACTTTCACGCACGTCTAAAAATTACCTAAATCAAGATAAAAATTTTAAAACAACCCCAGAAGGCCGGTGGCACCGAGGCAGCTTAGGGTGGAGGCCTGAGAAGAACAAGCCGGCGAGAGGCGCAGAGAGAAACAGGATGTAGAAGCAGAAAGGTTACATTTTATCCCGAGAACTCCGGCCACTTCCAAACCAAACACACAGCCAGACATCACTGCGTTTCCCCCAAAGTCCCTTGGACCCAGATCTCCTTTGGAAATGCAATACGTTGAGCACCCGGATCCTGCTTGATTCTCAAGCTAAGTTGTTATTGAATCTGTTATCCGTATCTGCGATAATGATTGACCAACCACAGGCTGTTTAAAATAGCGATCGTCTTATTCACGAATTGCAGGCATTCCTTGGGGATTGAAACCCTCACACAAGGCGCTCTACCTGACATCTGGTTGATAAAGGCATCATCTGGGGCCTAACCGGTCGGTGGCCAAACCTCGCAGGACGGCGAGATTAGAACAGGCGTCTGTCTCCTTCAGGGAACAGGCCCACTGAGCTGTTTTCCCCATTCAAGGGCCTGGGCTTTGGTCTGCATAAACCAAACAGAAGCGATGCATTGGCTTCTCACAGATGTCAACTGCTTCCCAAATGCTGCCTTTCTGCCTCCCCTGGATGACACAGTCAACGGGAGCACAGGTCTCAAAAGCACAAGGTTTCATTTAAACCAAACAAAACTGGAGTGTTAGTGGAATTGTGGGCCCGGCCGGCGTGGCTCAGTGGTTGAGCGTTGACCTAGGAACCAGGAGGTCAGGGTTCCATTCCCGGTCAGGGCACATGCCCGGGCTGCAGGCTCGATCCCCCCCAGTGTGGGTCGTGCAGGAGGCAGCGGATCAAGGATTCTCTCTTATCACTGATGTCTCTCTCTCTCTCTCTCCTCTCCCTTCCTCTCTGAAGTCACAGTTAGAAGAAGTGATCCGTGGAAGAAATGGGCTCAGGAAAAAATTAGAGGCGGAAGAAGGGCCCTTGGGGCTTAGGAGAGAGGAAGGTGAAGGTAAGTACCATGCCTGGGAAGAGAGGGGGAGTGGGGAATGGAGGGGTGGGGGGTGCTCTTGAGAGGGACAGCCGGCTGGGTCCTCTGTCCTAAGGGCTTTTAAGGACTGAGATTTTAGGGGAGGCCCCAAGGGGAGGAGGGTCTCAACAGATACGCATCTGCTCCCCAGGTGTGTTCTCTCAGGGGTCATTAGTCACGCAGCCGGTCCTGGCGTCCGCGATGACATCACTTTCTGGTTTTATTGCTTCTCTGGGCCTGGAGCTGAGACCCAACCAGGCCCAGATGTTATCTCGAGGTGGTCATGCTTAAGGGAGTGGTGGTGCCAAGCCCCACCTAGGAGTTGAATGAGGCCGTTGTTCCATCCCTCTTTCCCCTCCAAGGGGGTCTACTCACCCCCCCTCTAAGGGGTTCTGTCGCGTGGCTAGGGACAAGCCAGGGGAGGAAAGATCGAGGAGGGTCCAAACCACAGAAGCGGTGGCGTGAAATGTGAGGGGGACTAACCCACAAGACCACGCCGTGCGAGGGTAGGAGAGGTTCCCTGGGGGCCGGGTCTTTGTTTTCCCAGTTTTGTCTGTTCTGTCTGGCCTGGTGGCCTTCTGCACCCAGGCCTTCGTCCTTGCTCTGCTCCTGTCCGTCCTTAGTTACAGCTACAAAAAAAAACACACAAACCCACACGAAACAGCTAGAGGAAACTGTCTAATTATTATGTACACCAAGGAAGTAACCAGAGTGGAGTATAAAGTTAATTATTCTACGGTGAAGGTTATGATTGCACACTACATTGTGTGCGTGTGTGTGTGTGTTTTAAATATAGTTTTATCGGTTTCAGAGAGGAAGGGAGAGGGAGAGAGAGATGGAAACATTAATGATGAGAGAGAATCACTGTTCGGCTGCCTCCTGCACACCCCCTACTGGGGATCCAGCCTGCAACCCGGGCCTGTGCCCTGACCGGGAATCGAACCGTGACCTCCTGGTTCCTAGGTCAACGCTCAACCACTGAGCCACGCCGGCCGGGCTGTGTATTTGGAATGATGACTCCTAAAGGAGGGCCTGGCACCCAGCCCACATTGTCCTCGCAGGAGGCACAGCATGGATGTCACGTCCCCGAGCAGCGGGCCGTGTGCAGCGAGAGCCAGGCTATAAATAGGAAATGACAGAGTTTACAGTACACCCTGGGCGTCCTTCAGCAAGACGGTGCTGATGAAATGAGGGAACGGGAGCATATGTAAATAGAGCATGAGCATTACATATAAACAGCCGGGCAAACACATCTTGTGGAAGGAGACGCGGCTGCGGAAAGGTGGGAGCGGGCGGCAGAAGGAGTGTCAGCTTTGGTTTTAGATTCACTGGATTCGAATCCTGGCTCTACCACTAATGGCTGGAAACCGGGACATCATCTAACTCCTGTCCGTCTCATTTCCCTGCATCGATTGTGAGGCCACTAGCGTGTGCAATTGTTTTGTTTGTTTGTTTTGTTTTAAATATGTTTTTATTGATTTCAGAGAGGAAAAGAGGGTGAGAGAGAGATAGAAACGTCCATGATGAGATTCATGGATCGGCTGCCTCCTGCTCGCCCCCTACTGGGGATCGAGCCCACAACCGAGGCACATGCCCTGATTGGGAATCAAACCGTGACCTCCTGGTTCATGGGTCGATGCTCAACCACTGAGCCACACTGGCCGGGCTGCAATTGTTAACAGTGTTAACTATGTTAGGACATGGTTAACATCCCATTGTGTTACTGCAGTCTGTCTTGCTTGATGGATTGTGAGCTGCTCACAAAAGGAATTGTGTCTGAGTGGTCATGGTATTTCGAATTCCTAATCCAGTGTCTGACCCATGGTGGATTCTTAGTAAATGTTGAAATAATAAGAATCAGCCCTCGCCGGTTTGGCTCAGTGGATAGAGCGTCCGCCCTGGGACTGAGGGTTCTGGGTTCGGTTCCGGTCACGGGCACGTACCTCGGCTGCAGGCTTGATCCCCACCCCTGGTTAGGGCACGTGCGGGAGGCAACCAATCGATGTGTCTCTCTCACATCAATGTTTCTCTCTGTCTCTCCCCCACCTTTCAACTCTCTCTCTAAAAATCACTGGGAAAAAATATCCTGGGGTGAGGATTTACAAGTAATCAGAATCAGAATCATGGAAACTGTACACTTAGATAACAATGATGGTTTCATCTTAAGCGAGTCCTTACTGTGGGCCTGGCTCTGTGCTAGGAGCATTTCATGGATCATCTTATTGAATTCGCATGACGACCCTCCGATGGTCGGTCGGAGCATCCCACGCCGGCGGGAGGGTATGAGACTTAGGAACGTCCCACGTTCCCAGCGCTTCAGCCAGGCCGCCCCCAGGCGCTACTCCGGACCAGCACCGTGGAGGAGAATTCCGTGGAGCGGTAGGAGTCTCAGAAGCTGTCTGAGTACCAACAAGGGTGACAATTCAGGAGGGCTGAGGGCATCCCAGCACCAGAGGTAGTTTCCGAGTGGGCTCTGATGTGAGACAGAGGTGGGTGGGGGCATCTGAGGTCCACGCTGGGTGAGCGCCCGTGCCGTGGGCAGGGGGCCACCGAGGCTGGAACAGGGGCTGCATTTGGAGTTCCTGGCAGTTGGAACGGGCAGTGCCAGGGCCCAGAAGCCCTAGAGATGGGTGGCAGCGCTTGAGGCTGTGGATGGCAGCGGGTAGAGTCAGAGAGGGGGTTCGGGGCTGCAATCCCAGGAGGGCGCTGAAGGCAAACACCACTGGATTGGGCAACAGATCGCAGGCCCTCTGAAGAGAAGACAATGAAGCAATACAGGGCCACGTCGTTCGATGGTCATTGGCGCCCACTCAAGGCAGGGAAGGGGGAGATGGTATTCAGGGCAAACAACTGCGTTGTGACACAGCCCAGCTGTGGAAACGCTCGGCCGCCCAGCCGCGTTCACAATGGTGGCCCAGCACGGCCCAGGCTCCGCTGGGCTCCCCCCTCGTCTGGTGAACTGTGATCCCTGTTTCAGCTCCAGCTGGGAAGAGAAAGCTTCAGGGAAAAGTGTGACTCCAGCCGGTGCTCCCACAAAAGGCAGCCCTGGTTCTACCTGTAACCTTGCGTCCCCTTCTAGCTTTTCTCCCTGTCCCGGCATATTAAATATATAATCACGTCTTATTCCTTTCTATCTTTAAAAAACATTTTTATTTATTTCAGAGAGGAAGGGAGGGGCCCTCTTCCCACCAGAATCGGACCCTGAGGGTCTGCCCTCCCACACCACCAGGCAGCCTCCGGTGGGCACACAGCCCACTCCTCCGGGACACACCT